CGTCATATGTTCAATGTTCTTGTAGTATGTAATATGTATTATGATGATCTGGACTAATTTGAGTTACTATAACAGTGAGCTCGTCTTATCCTGACCATATAAGAAGTTACTGATTAACGTAGTTTTTTATATATATATAAACATCTGTATTCTTATGTCATATTTGAGTCAGTTATATGTTATTATCCATACTCCTCACTTACTCACTTTATTATATAATGTATCAGATTCCGACAAGGCTATCGGCGTGGAGATCAAACACGACGACAAATTGACCGCTGAGTCGGGCGTGTATATACAGGCTGCTCTGTTGTACACACACCGCTCGGGTCAAAGACGGTTAAGGGTCATTAACCTCGCGTTGTCCCTCGCGCACCAACTAGCAGACGTGTATAGATCAGCTGAATTGGACACCATCGTAAACTTCCTCACTAAACAAGGTATATATACTGAGATATTTATTTTCTTATCACTCTATATATATATATATATCTCTCTCTCACTATTATCTTGTGATTGTCATAATTTTGAATTTCGAATTAGTTGGAATGTTCCATTATATGATATTTAAAATGTTAGTATACTTTACTCATAACTAACCAATCTCTTTGTTTCAATGTGTGTCGTTCTAATTTCAAATTTTCTTGTTTTTTTTTCTTACTCGCCATCTTTTCTTATCAAGTTTTGTTCATTAACTTGAATTTCACGTAAAGAAGTTATATGTACTGAACATAATAACATTTGATTTTTTTATAATAAGTGAACTTTTCGCTTTCTATATTTGTATATTTAATATAAAATATATTTATTTTTGCTGCTCATAATTAGCTTCTGTTCAAACAAGTGAGTTCCCACCCTCGTGTATTGTACACATTGATTAAATTAATTAATTATCGCTCGAGCTATCTGTATCATCGGAATCATTTCATTACAATCTAATTATATATAAAACAATATTTCGTGTAACATCTCATTCAGAATATCCTAGCATACATCAATCATTTATGCCAACGAAACAAGATAAACTTTGTAAACAAGCGACCAATCAAAGACTTTAACCTATGACTCACTTTTGTTGCTTCATTATTATACACTAGGTGCGTCCCGTGGTGTTACCCGCGGATTTCCGGGATGTAAAGTAGCCTATGTGTTATTCCTAGACATCAGCTTCATGTATACAAAATTTTATCAAAATCATTTCAGCCGTTTGAGCGTGATGAAGTAACAAACACACACACACACATACTCTTTCGCAATTATAATATTAGTAGGATATATATATATTATAGTACTCATGTATTCTATCGTATATGTTAGCCGTATGGGCACTCCGTGAAGCCACGCCCCGCCAAGTTCGTGAAGGCCTCACTAATCGCTGCGCCCGCTCCCTGGCGGCCTACAGACGTCACTGCGCGTCACCTTCGTCCGCGGGACAGCTTGTTCTGCCTGAAGCTATGAAGCTGCTCCCGTTATATACGAGCTGTGTGCTGAGATCTGATGCTGTGGGCGGTGGTGAGAAATATGATATACTACACGCTATAAAGGAGATCTCCTATGAGATCCTATGAAATCTTTGTCAGTTTGTTATAGTTCTGAAATAATAACATATTGATACATCATTATAATCATCAGCCTATCAGAGCACACTGCTGAGCTGACTGTTCTCACATAGAGAAGATAACATTGCAACATAATAATAAAAGATATTAATATTTTTATAATCAACATATTATGTACTAAAAAAAATTATATGTAAGTGAATACACCATGATGAATGGTCGTGTAAAATGATAAAATATTTGGCTACAGTTACACTTGTTTTAAATAAGCATGATATTATGCGTACTCAATACAAGTATGCCTGGCAGTCGTTTATATTTGCGGGCAATATGCTTAAGTCAGTGGTGGCTCAGTGGTTAAAGGGCCCGCCTCTCGGCCTCTCGTCGCCGAGGGCGCGGGTTCGATCCTGGCCCGGGCAAGTACCAATGTGATTTTTCCGAATCATATGTACTTTCTAAGAGTATTTAGACATCACTGATTAATGTTGATTCCCAAAGAGGGTTGATCTCAGGCAGGCGGCCGGTCGTAAAAACAATCAGCTAAAACTATTCACAACATATAAGGCAGACCCTGGCTGTAGCCGGGAAATTGCAAGGTAGAAGAAGAGATAATAACATGTATATATCATGTATTTAAGGTCCAGATATAACATGCGACGACCGCTCGTGCGCGATGTACCGCGCTCTAACAGCGGACGTGTCTCTGTCGCTGGTGTACACGTACCCGCGTCTGCTGCCGCTACACGACCTGCCCGACCGACAGCCCGCGCCGCTCAGGGCCTCCATAGACAAGATGGACGACCACGGAGTGTATCTGTTAGGTTAGTCTATGGTGTACACAACATACATATATGTATATATAGTTAAAGAATTGAATATCTATTATTTTTATTAATGTAACTCTATTAGTCGTTGATTGCCTCTAACAAATTGCATGCTATAATTACGTGTAAGTAAAAGAACAATTGAAATGTATTACTAAAATTACTGCTGTACACGAATTATTGTATCTTTTGTTGGGAGTTCTGAATAAATAAATAAGTATACTAATGAACCGATCAGTCTGTCTGTTTGAACCTATCTCAGAAGCTTTGTTTGATAGAAGTATTATACAATGTAATGTTATGAATGTATGTTTCTTATATTTGAAAAACCTTACGATATGTATACATAAGAAACAATGTTCCTGAGTGTTTTAATTTTAAAGAACAAATACCTATATGGAAAGTAATCTTTTAAATTCTGTACCATATTCATTGACATCGCTTCTCTAACGAACTGATTTTTCTTTTATATCGCTTTTTAATCATAATCGCTTTCTATATGTATATAAATTATCTTTAACAGAGAACGGCGTACATATGTTGATATGGGTCGGTTCCCAAGCGCCGTTGGAGTTTGTTAGGGATGTGTTCGGCGCGAATTCACCTCAAGCGGTGGACGCCCGGGTGTGTGAACTACCGGAACTAGACACACGAGCCGGCGCCGCGGTTCGGAAACTAGTCGACGAAATCAGACAGAAGAGAAGAAACGCAATGAGGGTGAGTACATACAAAAACACGTAGAAGATTACTTATATGACACTCCAAATATATCTTTATAGGGAATTCTATTATGCAATATACTAATAAATCATGCAAAAAGGTAAGTTAGCACAAATAATATCATGCACGAGATTTAACAGCTTTTCAAGCTATATGCATGCTATTTAGTGCATGAGTAATGAATCAGCTGTAAGTTTGTAGCGCATGTATTATGTTGATAGCTGAGCGTGGTGCGTCAGATGGACAAGTCTGAGTGTGAGTTCCGGCCGCTGTTGGTTGAGGACGCAGCCCGAGGGGCGGAGTCCTACGTCGACTACCTCATGACCACGCATAAAGCGATACAAAAAATGCTGTAGGTTAAGCTTTGGACTCAATCTGTACGCGATACTATTGTGGTTTTTGGGAACATGAAGGTGTTATTACCGGTTTTGGGCGTGATTTCTTTGATTTGGATGCTGATATTTTAATATTTTTATATATACATATGTATTGGGTTATTAGATATTTTTTCGCTTTTTATTCTATATATCAAGGTGAAGGTCGCTTGATTAATTAGTGTATATTTATTTTGTAATTGATATGTATACTATGGGATGTCTTATCGAGTTTTTTTGTTGAATTTTACGGAATACTTATTATTTATTGAATAAATTTATTCGTTTTGTTGCAGCTAACCGTGTTACGTCAGCACGATAAGCTAGAGACGGTGCTACGTCAGCTATTAGTAGAAGATCGTGGAGTGGATGGTGGGGCGTCATATGTTGACTACCTCTGCCACATACACAAGGAGATACGCGCCTTACTCTAGCAGACCACGCTTTGGGAACACCTGTGGAAGTCTCTAGAATATTTGTCTGATCGTTGGAATTCTTGTGCCCTAGTCTACAGTATGAAGTGCTTCGTCCGTCAAGTAGAGGGTTTTCTATTACTGGTGAAGCGCTTTCTATGAGAGTTGAACTTAGTGTCAGGTGTTCCCGGTACTATGAGTTATGTTTATATTTAATTGACGATGTATATTCAGCTTGTTACTAACACGTACATAGATTCTGTTACTTTATAAGCTCATTCAAATTATATACTATATATTTTTGTTCTTTTTTTTTTTGACGCTAGTTTCTAAGGGGATTTCAGATGGATCTAAACTTCCGAGTTTTGATAGAATTTATATTAAGACCATGTCTAGGGAGTAATGTTAATCCGATTATTACTTAGATGTAAAATATGTTAAATAAAGCTGATTACACTCGTTGAGAGCCAATGAGAAGTCAAGTTGAGATGACTATGGTCCACGAAATACTTCCATAAATGTAAATTATAATAAGTATTCATTGATATTAAATAGATCGAGTATTTAATGCAATTTCGTAAACATCGCTAGAGTAGTGTGTTAAATATTGTGCAACCCATCGCATACAAGCCGATACCCCACATACATTAGTTTAAAACGTCTGGATTATAATAGATTGTAAATAAAATATATTGGCATTATTATAGTTATTTATTATTTTATTTGTCTATAAAACAAATTACTTTAGAATTTCTTATATAAATTTTTTTTTGGTTCACAAATAGTTTTTACATTTTCGGTACTTGAAAAACTTAATTTTCCGAACCAAAGTACAGTCATTAATTTAATAAGTTCTATATGATTAATTGTATTGTCACATATCTTGTTTAGCGTTGTATAATCTATTTTTGCAATAGCCTCCACTCTTTCTGAAACAAAGATAAAAATTACTTTGTATATTTATATTAAAATAGTACATTATATGTCCTTAGTTAGTCGTGAAAAAAAAGCTAAAGCCGATAAAAACTAAATCTTAAAAGTAAAATTTTATTCACAAACAAGCATCGAAATCTTTGTCCTAAAGTCGTAAAAAAACTTCTACAAGAATTTCTAATCTTTCTGAAGTTCAGTTACCAAAAAACTCACTTCTTTAGGATATAGTACTTCAATGATAGGTCCCTTGTACTTGCAGGGCAGGCAATATTTCTGGCAGTTCTGCCGCCGCTTGCAGCTGTCCACAGATGATAGGACAAACACCAGCATCAGAAATAATACACCAAAGAACTTCTTCCACTGCATTGTTTGGCGTATTCACTTTATATACAAAAATTTAAAAGCTTTAGGAAAGAAATTTATTGCTTAAGAAAACAAATATATTTTTTGGCCTCTTGCGCTAATTGCTTAAACAGCAAAATTTTATTATCTTAATTAAACATTTTTAGTGATATTTCCTTTAGGAAAGAAATATATTTTATGGTCTTTTGCACTAATAACTTAAAGAGCAAGAGTTAATATTCCAATCAAAGATTCTTAGTGATATTTTGTAATAAAACCTAATTGAAAAATAATAGCAGAAAGAAATGAAAATTGCCATAATTATTACCTTTATCTCGAGCTTGGAACGAACTTTGGGTCCACCGAAATGGTTACAAGGAAAGCAGTTCGGGTCTTTACAATGTTTCTTATGTCGACATGCTTGAGATAGATTCAGTATAGAGATGGCGATATGGATGAATACAAGCACAAACTCATTTAGATAGTTCATTTTTCTGAAATAATAAAAAAAACCGTTACTATGGAGAGAAAAAAATGATCTAAATAAAGTTAAACTGAACCGATAATTAGTATGTCTCTTGTGAGTTTGTTAATTGCTCGGGATACTTCCTGTGTGTATTCTGAGTAAGCCTCTGATATTTGGCAAACGGCGCCGGAAATAAAGCACATACATACAAATCGTCCAACACTGGGATCGATTTACAAATGCACCGTTGACGCACGCTGTCTTTTTGAAATTGAATTGTCATTATAATTAACAGCGAGATTGAAATTTTAGACAACTCAGTTATTACTCACTCTATCATTCGTTATACAACTTATATGCTAATGAAAGTAATATTTTCGGATTACGAGTATTTTATTATTAAAATCTACTCTGTGCCGAGAGACATTTTCATCTCGTCTTCCAGTAATCACGGTTGCTGCAAAGTAACCGAAACGTTGGGAAAAAATAATAAACTACGCGTAGTAATCCGAAAACATTATTTTCAAATAAATGAATACTCGCAAGTCTTAGATCTCTATAAATAAGCATTCATAGAACCGAACAGTTCTAAATATTATTCTTACAAACAGTTTACCTTTCTTTTCACACAATGGGCTACGCGGGTCACAATCGACGTACGTGTGGCGAGTACAGCCGTAACAACTCTCGAGATAAGACAGTAGAAGTGTAACCAAAAGTACTATGAGTTCTTGGACCACCGCTTTGTCCATAGCACGATGACAAGATAATCTACAAGATGATTATATTAAATAGTGTTATAATTTAAACATAATCAATCAAAGGACGTACTTATTTCCGACAAGGCGGGTTATCAGGTCTGCAAACGACGTTTCTTCTTCCGCAGGCGCTTATAACTTGAAGAATTTCTATCAATATAGCCACTGCAAATATAAGGTGACGCCAAATTTTCATCATATGCCGGAATCTTAAAATAAATACTTTATTTCTCTACTGACTCCTTAGTTTACATAATTTGTTATGGCAGTAAGGGAATTATTTAGATTGGGATACAATGAAAATGAATAGTTACCAACTTTAATCGCGATATCATATATGTTTACTTACGACAAGTCTACTTTTTCATCAATAATAATAATAAACCAAATATATTGTACGGGATGTTTAATGTCGAAGTTAAAAATCACACTCCCATGTTAGGTGTCCTCACTAGATTCTGTAAAAGAGAAAATATTGAGTCGAGTCTTTCCACCGAAATAAATCTGCAATAAATTTAACAAATTAAAAAGACTTATATACGAATCGAAGGTGGAATTTGACCCAAAACAACATTTCTCGTTTACAGAAACACTCAATCGAAAATTAAAATTCCGAACTGTATTCAGTTATTTATTACCATAACACTTCGCTAACTACAAATATGTGCATAATAAGCATGATTCAAAACCTCAAATGTAGGTCATGAGATCTCTGAATCCAAAAGTCCAAAGTACAAGATAATTTTATTCATTCACAAGTGTCGTACCTTTACCTATACCTATAAATATTTATTCTCAGTTTCTATAGGGCCCTCGGCGACAGGGTGCTCGGCCGGAGCAAGGTATATTTTTCTTACAGCAGGCACTCCCCATCGCGATTATAGAAAACATGGTTAACAGAATAGCAAAGAGCAAGCTCAGATCAAATTTAGCCATAGCGTTCCTGAAATCAAATATTTGGTGACATTTAAACTTGCAGAACCTCCAGCGTGTGTATTCATATTAATTTCTCTTTTATAAATCTCTATTATTATGATAGTTCCTACCAAGATTACTTTCCACAAGGTGCTGGTTTTCTACAGGCGATATAAACTTTTCTAGTACAGCAGTTGGCACTCGTCAACAGAGTTAACAAAGCGGAGAGGAGAAAGACGATACTCTGAGCAAGGCCCATGATCTACCCGAACACCATAGCTGTCATCTGTGGAAATACCTACCTGTACCTTACGTGCTACTAATCCTATATTTTTCGGACTTTTGGATCATCTACTTATCTTAGAATACAAACCCACAAAGACGTAAAAATTAAACGAATATTTAATTTGAGATAGCATTCATTTTTGGGTCAAATTCCAGTTTTTATATGCGTGAAATTCGTGTGAAATCATACATATATACATAGTTTGACTAAGAGACCATGTCATATTTTATTTTGCTTTATCAGTTTTACATACGAAAATTATATTTTATTCAAAGATACATATAGTCTGCTTATCTAAAAGAATAAATACTCTCTAATAATGGTACTAACCTGATTTTTTTGGATTTTTGTTGTGTGAACACTGAAATTTTTGATTGATGTGCCAAATGGAATGTGTTTTGTTTTAAATGTGTCGATCGATGACTTTTCTACGAAGTTTCTTCTAAAAAAGTAACAAACAGCAACACCTCCTCGCTTCTGGCCACAGATTAAATTAATTAACTTCAACTAATGATTGCACGTTTTACTTAATTGTTTTCGTTTGTATGTATTTATTTTATTTTAGTTTATACACTAGAAAAAGTAAATACAATATTACTAAAAGCGCATCTAAGTAGTGGTCAGTGTATTAAGTACCTATTATGAGAGACGGGAGAGATTTTATGTAAATCATTAGTTGTCACGATCACACTACACACGGAACGAGGCAGTTTTTCGTTTCCATATTATATTTAAATTGATTTTTAAATTAGTAAAGGAATGCTTCGTATGTACTTAGTGAAATTTAAAATGTTAACTAAGAGTATTCATACAGATCTTACTAAAATGTTCGCTTTAAAGAAAAAAACACTATGTAATTGAAATAAGTTTGAAATATAAAGATAAATATATAAATAAACAATTGTATAATGAATGAATTGTGATTTCCTAAATATAACATAATATGTCTTTTCTAAGTTATTTCCATATTATATTAAAATAAAACGAGTAAGAAAAATCTCTATAGCGTGACATATAAATGTTTGTTTCATCAACGAAAAAGCTGCTTCCCCTGTTTGCGTTGACATCAGCAAGATTGTGGAAAACTGGTCTTATTATACATTTTATAAGAAAAATGGTATGATCACGTATCAATGAGAGAAAGTCTAGATATTGTGTAAAATTAATCCTTTAAACTCTTCAGCAAAGTGTCATAGATCTCAATGATATCTAAGCCTTGCGAGTATTCATTTAAATAAAACTAATATTTTGGGATTTACAACGCATTTTTTTAAATTATTTAAAGTTACATACTCAAAGAAAATTCGTGGTGGCTTAGAGGTGAAAGGCCCGCCTCTCGTGCATGAGGGCGCGGGTTCTAAACCTGGCAAGTACTAATGTGATTTTTCCGAGTCATATGTACTGTCTAAGAGTATTTAGACATCACTGACAGACGATGAAGGAAAACATCGTGAGGAAACCTGGAATTATAATTTCACAATTATAAGTTTGAACTACCAACCCGTCTTGAGCAAGCGTGGTGATTAATGCTCAAATCTTCTCCGTGATTGTGGTTGCTGCAAAGTAACCGAAACGTTGGGAATATGTAGTTTTAAATAATAAAAAATGTGTACAAAATATTAGTTTTATATGTCAAAGACCTTGTCATGTTAAATATATTTATTTGTTTGTTATTTAAAAGACTTAAAGCGCCAACAGATTTTTATATAAACGACATATCTTCAGGATGTGACGTTCAAATGATGTGCGGACATTCATGTTCTGTCATATGTACATCGTAAATTAAACACAATATAATATTTGTTATAAGAAATTATATTCGTTGAAACATGTTTTCTTGTTATTTTAACACATTAAATATTCGATTTAACTAAAAAATATAAGCTGATATAAATTTTAACAAAAATTTAAGACTAATTTCTTTTATAAGCTGTATTGTGTGTACTATTTCATACTGTGTATTTATTTTGTTAGTTATTAAGCTTGTTACGGCTATCAGATGTATGTAATATGTGTTTATAAATGTCGGAAGAGTTGAAATAACACACGTACTTGTCGAAATGTGTTAAATATACTATGGAAAAGTGAAGAAGACAAAAAAAATTAAAGTTATACAATTTCTCAATTAGATGTAATAATCTATTTCATCTTAATTAAAAGAAATTTCAATAAACTATGCTTAAATTTGTTTTGATATTAAAACACCACAGACACTTTAGTAATGTTAAATTTTCCACAAATGCCGGAAAGATATCAAAAATCTGATTAATGATGAACATAAAATTGTTTGATACTATCAAAATTTATAAATAAAACTATAACACTATGTAGTCGTATATATAGAACTTTCAAATAATAAGGACGGGGTTAGTACTATCGATAGAAAATTTTATAGCACGTAACTAACTTAAGAGTTTAGTCAACTTACACTAGGAAAATCTATAAATAATTTTATTCGCAGTTTTTCTGTAACCATTGTTTTTGTTTTCTAAATCACTTGTTCCCAAAAAATTATGTTAAAGACATTGTTTTCAACAAGTTACATACTCTGTACCAAGCAAATTCCAAATTCCAATGAACTCTGATTCTTTTGTATAGCAACAAAATAGTAAAAGAAAACGTTAAGAAAATAGAATCTGTTTTAAAATTAACTACAATAAAAATCACTTAAATAAGACGGAAAATTTTTAAATTTGTTCTTACGATTTTAACTAAAACAAAAATATTAAATTAAATATTGTATTTAATAAAAAGATAAGTTTTGATATGTCTTAATCAAAAACTATGTATGTTACAGAAACATTACAGTCACGTAACTAAAATTATATTTTTAAATGCTATTAAGCTCGAGTCATATTTCCTCAATATGTTTTCAAGGTAAATTCCGATGGAGGTGAAGATTCGGATGTAGCCCAATAGAAACGAAGTGATTGTACGCTTTGATCTTATTAAATATCAAAGAATAAGTAAACCAGTAATATACATATGTTTTACTTTTGATTTTTCGCTCAAAATAAAATATCATTTATAAAAACTGAGAACTGGTTATGACTTCAATAATTTTCATTCCGACTATACTCCTTATAATTTTAATACATGAATGTAAGTAAGGGTTTATATATAACAATTATACATATACCTAGTTTCGTATAAATAAAATTTTGTTGAACTGTCTAAAATAGATTTCAAACACAAAAAGTAAATGTATTATAATTTCAAATGAAGTCTTAAGATATAAAATACATATAGACAAATCCATTGTTAAAATCCTTACTTAATATTTCTAGTATAACATTATAATACTATCGATATCAGAATCAGTCATCACTACAGCCGTATCCCGCCAGCTTCATCACTTGTGCGCGTGCGACGACACGCGCCCGTATATTTTTATCGCGTTCCGTTCACATCACTACGTTAAAAATAAACCATGCATTAAAATACTAAAATATTCCACGTGTTTCAACGAAAAAAGTTAAGTGACAAAGACTTATGGTATTCACTGTGACTGCAATTAGTGATTCAGGAAAAAATTCTGTATTGGAACAGTCGTTTTCTACTGTTCTTCGGGTAATAGTGTTCATGATATGGTCCAGTGATTGAAATACTCTGAAAATCAGAAGCGGTATGTATATTAAATAATACTTATTTAATCCTTATAGTATTTTGCGTTCCCTTTGAATATTTTTAAACGGTTCCGGTAGGCGGTAACTCAATCCATCAATCGGTAATTTCAAATCATTTTTCCACATCTTATTCGATACACGCGTCTTCGTAAAACATTTCTTTATCT